AAAAAAAAGTTAGCTAATGTCATTTACAGAACAGCAATCCTGTTTGATTTAGAAATGTTGCATTGATCAAACTTCAAGCAAACACTGACTGAAACCTACCGTAAGGATGGGGTGCTTTTGCTGCAGCTGGTATAGATGACAGGCTCGTCGTCATAGAAACTGCCAAGGGCAAGTTTCTGCCTGATTGACTCTCTCTCATTCCTCTGAGCCTACAGGAGAAAAAAAGATAGCAACATGAATTATAAAGGATATTAATAAAAGCGCGGCTCCTGTGCTGCCACTTCCACTCATCTTACAAAGGCTGAGCTGATTGAATGATTTTATAGCTAATTTTAAAAGATTGTGTCTGATAGGCATTTATTCAAGATTATAATTATAAATAAAATGGGTTTATTATGGAAACATGTGAAAGGCATTGCCGTTATTTTATCCTTTGAGTCGCATCGTGGTTTTTATTTTAAAATGTCAGTTAATAAAAAAAAATCTGGGAAAAATAAGTAACATTTTGAAAAATATATGAAGGAATTTAAAATCTTTATTTTATAAAGTCTTTATTTATCCCTGTGTACCTTCACAATATTTGCCCTTTTGAATTAAATATATATATATTTTTCAATTTGTTCATTAATGTGACTTTATTGTAGTTGAACACGTAGTTTTTTTCAACCTTTTTCATTTTTATTTTTTCATAATATGAAAAAAATGAAATATGTGGGTTTTTTTTTTCTTTCTGTTCAAAAGCCACAAATATATGATTAAAAATCAAAACCATACAAGGGTCCACTAGGTGGCTCTCTCTACCAGTTCTTGTTTCTTGTTTCATATAGCCATAAATGTGCATTTCCTTCTGGAAGCCTTCACCAAAGAGAGCAAGAAAAGAGCTCATCACTTTACAAACAGTAAATGTGTGCATTCGTTTGTTGCATCCGGTACAATGACAATAAAGCTTTTTCTCCTTTAACTTTTTTTTTTCAGCTGTAGAAACCATCAGCTGATACACATGTCAACAAGTCCTGTATGAATTCAATTTTAAAGTCTGTTTAAGCAACCTCCTTGGGTCCTTAAGTGGGCCCAAAGTCTTCCTAAAAATTGTGGTGAACCTCTTGTGCAGCATGCGCTCACTTGTCCTCATTCACAGCTTCCTCTCTTTGGCTGCACTTAGCCTTCATAGACCTGAATAAAACAGCTCATTTTTATGTGACGCACATTCAGATGAAGATGTAACGTCAAATGATGAATCAGGTGAGGTTTTTTTACTCTCCGTGCTCTTGTTCCCCAAAAATAGATGGTCAGATGCCCCCATTTCTCACACAAACGCAACATTTATCCCTCATGAAGTATGATTTCATGAATGAAATATAGAGCCCAGACACCAACAGGATGTAGAATTATTATCCTCAGTCTATTTTTACCCCTCAAGAAGAAACAGCTACAATTCCACCAAAATAATTGGTGGTCATCTAAATCAAGATAAGGTTAGAAGTGAGTAGAAGGTTGAGAGATACACAAATTGGAATCACATGAAAGCATCCACTCCCTTTTCCGACATCCACTCATCCATTATGGCTGACATCCCCAGCTTCCCATTCATTACGCAGATACCTATCCCTCTACCTGTGAAGATCATGACATGAACACTTCCCTCTCTGAATCCCAAACCAACACAGACACAAATTCACACACCTGGTAAACGCGTTTCTCCTGGTGCACCATCCTTCTAACGCATGGTACTAACACAGCCGTCCTGCCCTTCTCAATACTGCAGTAGAGCTCCAATATACTGCAGGTCCATGCAGGAGAGGAGAGTGAGAGAGGAGAGTGCAGGGAGGGGAGAGGCAGCAGAGAGTGAAAGGAGGAGGAGGGGGATGCAAGTGTGGGAAGAGGCGGAAGCAGTAGAGGAGACAGAAATGGTTGAGTGGTAGAGGGAGGGGAGAGTTAGAGCTGCCATGGCTTTCCTGATCTGTTATCTGTGCCTCCATCTTCCTCACTTGCTTTCAGCCTCCATTTTTCCTTTACTGCAAAGAAAGGATGAAATACTCCTGATAAATCTGGCAGGAGGAATGTCAAAGGTAGATTTGTTGAAGAACAGCAGATGTTCCAGGTGAGTGAGATAAATCTTCTGGATAAGATTGTATTATTGGAAAGTAAACCACCAAATGCTCCCAGATTCATATGATAAAGGTTATGTAAAAGATGAAAAAAATAAAATGGCCTCTTATTGTGTGTTTCATATTTTCTTTAATGTTTAGAAGTTTAAGCAGAATCTACCGTAAAAGAGGAGGAAGCACAAAAAGCATATATTGAAAAAAACAAACCCAAAGCACTCAGCTCTCAGAGTGCTGTGTCACAGTGAAGCAGTGGGCTGATAACTTGAATCATTCACCCGTCATACGCCTGCAACTAAAAATACCCAACACACAGCAGGGAATTCTGTGAAAGGAAAAACTCTCAAGTTTTATCATTTATTTTATGCACATTTCTCCAAAGTAGCAACTGAGACAGTATAGATGGCCACTCACAGAGATGCTGGACAGCCTGGCTCGCTTCCCACTGTAAATGTTTTCAGCTTGTGGTGCAAAGATGTCCTGGACTTCCTCGGCCCAGTTGCAGCTTTCAACCATACAGCCGCCTCTGTGGTGTTGTGTAGTCCTGCTGCTGTCACTGTCCTCCCACAAGTAGCCTATTGTGGCCCCACTGAACATGTCTACCTCATGCAAAACCCCATATTCTTCCGTCAGGATAAACTATCTCACATAAAAAAAAAATCAGCCAAAGGTACAGTTAAGCAATACAATAAATATATACCTTTAAAAATTCCAACTGCCCTTTTTAGAAAGCTGAATTATGAATAGCAATTTAAAAAGGAAATCTGCATAGAAATGATGCATTTGAGATTCCTTGTTCTTATAAGGCTTTTTTTCTTGAGCTCAGTGCCTCTAAACACAGCTTTTCCAAGTGACTGTGGAGAATCGGAGCTATGATGTACTCTATTTTCAGAGTGTGCAGTGTTACACATTCTTCACAGTCACATGGAGCCCAGTTTCAGTGATGTGTAAATATTCCTCGTTCACATGCAGCATCAGAGGGTGCCCAAGGGAGAGAGCACCATGCAGAAATGTATAAAAAGAGACAGAATGGGGTTTACTAAGGCTTACCAATGTTAATAAATTCACAACAATAAAACTGCTGTGCAAAAAAAGCACCATATATTGCAAAACAATCAATACATTTGGATTAGAAATATTCAAATATGAAAAGTGAAACCTATAGTTTCCTTATACTTCAACTGTTACATCAGATATGGGTTCCAGCTTATTCAAATCACGCCTCAAATACCTCAAATATAAACATTGTTTATGACCTTTGATATAGGTATGGTTTACCCAATCATGGAAGACAGTGGCTTCATTGTTTACCTGCAGTTATTTGATCAAAAAACATTCTATACAAGTATATGTATGGAAAGCTCAGTGGAAAAAAAAGAAAATAATTTAGCTGGAACTAAAGAGAGTAATGCTAGCTGAAGCAAATCCAAGAGTTTGAAGGGATTTATAAGTTTAAGGATAGAGTTAGAATTTGAAAAAAGCAGATTACTCAAAAATTTTATTGGGACATTGGTAATAAGTGCAACCGAGAAAGCAATATCTAACTCAATCAGAAGTGTCATATCTTGGATTAGGAGGAGAAAAAAAAGGAAAATATTGTTAAAAAGTACAATTTTAGGATTAAAATACATTTCACATTTATTTTGGAAGCTATTTCCCCCAATTATGAAGCAAACTTAGACAGAAATAATTTATCAGATTATATTTTTTCTTTTATCTGATGTTTTGATGTCAGCTAGGAAGTGATTTCAGTGCTCTGTCTCCATCTACTAAAGGGCGCTGTGTGGAGGAAAGTTAGAGCAGAAACGGGAATAGATCCAGAGTCCGGTCAAGGTTCATTTACACCGTTTAATGGTGATCAGGTTGCAGGATGCACTTTATATCACCAAAAAACTCTTAAAATTCTTTGTCACCTAAATAGCGCCCATTTAATCATGCTCCAAAGTAGAGCTGCACAATATCTCTGCTGTGCTCTGAAAGTGAGAGCACAGAAAACTTTTGCAACATGATAGAAAAACATGTTGGCATTAAGCCAAAGTAGATGTGAAAGCTTTGGTTAATTCACTTCATAAAGTATTAATCAACCCTCCTGTGATGTTCCATTAATGCCAGTTTCACATCTCTGTACATTTAAAATCATATTTCACGTTTTAATAGGTTCCTTTTTTTTTATGTGCAAGAAAACAGGTTTTCAATTGGTCAATATGGCACATAGTACAAATATGTACCATTTTGTTTTGAGCATATTTAAAAAAATATTAAGCACTTACAGAGCAATGCTCTTGATAGAGAAAACTCAGGTTTTCAGGAAAAATGGTAACCGATAAGATCAAGTTGAGGTTAATTCTAACTTCAATCCCGAGTAGGGGATCAACTTAAATACTATAAAAGGGGATTTTTGTAATGATTCACACTGATGTAAAAGTGCACTTCCAGCAAATGCAGTATTAACAGAACATTTTCATTGAATGTTTTGGTTTTACAAAATTGCAGGAAACTTGTTCCTCTGCTTTAAGCATTAACCAAGGTTACAGATCTTTAGTCTTCTCCAAACTGCTCTAGTTAAAAAAATCTATAATTTCCTTTTTTTTTTTTTTAAGAATTCCGTAAAAATTCAAAAATTATTAACTGGACTTGGTTTTCAAGATTTGAAGACATTTCACCACCTCTCCAGGAAGCTTTCTCAATTCAAATGTCTGGATCCACAGCGAGTTTGAGTCTTATAGACAAGGCCTTGTATTGCTTGGGAACATGCAAATGGTAACCGGAATGACTATGACCTGGATGACTGAGAACCTTCATCAGCATTTTTTTAAAGAACTCATTTGGAAAATATACATTTGCACCATAGAACTCCCAACTCTCCAGATAACCAAAATACACAATTCAGAGTTCAACTTGTTTATTAGTTTTTCACAAAAAAGCAAACATCTAAAAAGTAGGACCACTAGGCTGTGTTCCATGAGTGCTTAGTCACTCACTTAGATGTCAGGTCCTCCAAGTCTGGATCAACTAGACTTGTGGAATGATAAAGCAAAGGAAAAGACTCCCAGAAGGCATCAGGATTTGCTTGACTGTATCCAGATATATAGTTCTGCTCATTTTGTTGGATCTTACTGTTACCAACATACGCTCTGGGAACAAAATTATAAATGCTGTGCTTTGCAGAAGGACCAATCCTTGGTTGTGGGCAGTCAGTACTTGACGTCACCGTTGGCTCTGTCGGCGTTGTTGGAGTCGTCTTTGGGGTGGTAAAATACTCTGCAAGGATTTTCTGAAAGGGATGAGCAAACAACTTAGGTTTTGGAGTCGTTTGAAAGTATGTATGCCATTCTGGAGGGTTATAAGCTTGGTAATAGGGGGGCAGATGATATCTGGGCCTTTTAAAATAATGAGCATAGAATGGGTAGTATTCCAGGAGTTTCTTAAAGAAGCGTTGATAAAGTAAAGATGGATGTGTCGGAGCAGCAGTAGTGGTGGTGGTCGGAGTTGGTGTTGAAAAGAAATAATGGAAAAATGGAAAACGGCGGCGTTGATAACAAGGATCATATATGGGATGCCATCTAAAACCCCGCTTCATACGATGAAGGGCTCTGTGAAATCCAGTTGTTTTTAAAGAATCATCAACAGGCTCAGTGGTTGTACTGAGATCAGTGTTTGGCAACATGTTGCAGGTTATATTAACAACACTCTTCCTCCACTGCATTGTCAACACGTGGGTCCCGTTCTGAAACAAGACATAGGGGAAATGATGTGATGCCTTGTATTTATAGATTTATCTGCAAAGACAGGGCAATAACAGATTTTGGTATATATGAATAAAATCATACCTGTTTAACGCCACATCCATCATATGGGACAAGTAGGATAAGTCCAAATGGTGTCCGTTTCACCAAGATGCCACAGGTTTCATGCATCCTGCTCAGAGGTACAGGGTCTGCATTGCCTGGGGAGGAGGGAGGGAAAAGGGCAATATAAATTGATAGAAACTTTGAGGGAACATAAAACATGGCTGAAAACTCTTACCCATGTACAGTTGTAGCTCATCAGCACCTGGTCCCATCACTTTAAATTTCATTTTGTTAGGGCCGCAGAAAAGTGAAGAATTAGAGCTGCTCCATGCAGCTGCTTCAACTATTGTGTCCTCTGTAAGTTAATGGGAGAAACACAATTGTCCATCCTTACCTTCTAGATTTCATAAATATGAATAAATAAATATGGAAGTTACCTTTATCAGCTGGGACTGAGGCATCATATAAACCAATTTCTGTGGCAAGAGCTGAGGAACGACCCGACTCATACTTCAGCTCTTTCCCTTTAAATGTACCCTTGTCTTCCACTTCGGTACTTTTACCCACTTTTCTTATGTTTGTTAGTCCATACCAGCTAAAACAGGTTAAACCAAGTGCTACAGAAAACAAGAGGATTGTGGCTGCTATTATCTGACATCTTCTGTGGCGTGCTGCACCTTCCATCACAGCAACAGACAAAAAAGAGTTAACCATGCTACACAGCTTCAGTCTCACCTTTAATTATGCCAAACCATCTTAGCACCTGTTGATTCTGAAAGGGAATTAACCAATCAGAGAGAAGATCAGCCATAGATTGCCCTCTGTTGCTAATTAAGATACAATTGGTGAGACTCTAGTTCTGTTCAGATTTCATCCTGTTGTCTCATGACTATACAGCAAATGTGCCCAAAGCACTGTATCATAAACAGCTCAAGTATGAAGGCCTTCATAACCAAGCAATGGTAGAATATGAACATGCAGTTTAATTATATCCATAGATAATGGTTGATTTCCATTTTCCTTTTACCCATAGTGGTTTTTTGCTCATATCTACTGCATGTAATAAAAAAAAACTTAGATATTTGATTGGAAACAGTCAAAACAATGTATAATTGTGACATTTATTCCTAAATTTGATCATTGGAGGCCTCTAATTGATGAACTGAAGATCCTTGCAATTTTTGAACAATTTAACTGGTATTTTTTCTTATGTGGCCAAAAGACCAACTATCTTTAGTTGCTTTTAAAACCTCAGTGGTGAACTTGACAATCCATTTTTTATTATTTCCACATTCCAGATTGTATTGTATTTTTTAATCTGCTATAGAAGGGTTCAAGAGGTGGAACAATTTATAGCTGAAAGAAGCTCAGCCTACCCCTCTTATATACTACAAGAAAACATTTTTATATCAATAATAAAATCATCTATTTAGGTTTGTTTCAGCTACATGTCATTTTTTTATCATACAATATGATTTTTTAAATTGCATTTATAAGATCCTTTTGTTTACCATTCTTTGTCAGGGTTTATTTCTATTTCCTTCAACATCTAAACTTTATCCTTACACGATTTTAAGTTAGCTGTGATTACATTTATGAGCCCTTTGGGTTTTAATTGTGCAATTAATCTGACATGTGTTTGTTGCAACTTCTTTTCAAACTGATTTCAGTTGATTTTAGTACAAAGTGAATTAAGTACCCCCTTTGTACAGTAGACTCTAGATTTCAGATCTCAAAACTCAACTGGAACATGCATCATTTATGTAACATTACCACACAAACCTGTTGTGGAGTCTACAGAACACAAGAAATGTTCTAGATTTATTTTTTCTTGATTTCATTTTAACAATCTTGTTCAAACTTCATATGTGTTCTCAAACTTCCAAAAGAGATACAGAATGTTCCAGTCCGGTTAATGTGCTCAAGCATATTAAAATCAGTGATTTTACTCAGTATTGTTTTGTATTCCTTACGGTACAGTCAGAAGAAGCCTTACAAATCCTCAAAGCAGGGGACTAACACCAGTTCTTAGTCTTTAAATAAATTTCAATTCAGTTTATTTATATAACACCAATTCTCTACCCGTCATCTCAAGGCACTTTACAGAGACAATTCAACCAGGTCATACAGAGTTTTCCATCTAAGGAAAACCAGGTGATTGTATTGACTCATCGACTTGAAAGCAATCCCTCATATCAAGTATGCCTGTAACGACAGTGGAAAGAAAAACTAAATTTTAACAGGAAGAAATCTCCAGCAGAAAAAGGCTCAGTGTGATCGGTCATTTGCAGAGGCTGATTGGGTTCATGGAGAGAGAAGCAGACATACAGAAAAGCAGAAATACAAAAGGCAACTGTCAACCAGCTCCACAGGCAGCCCCATCCAGGAAAAACACAGCAAGGTTGAGGAGCTTCGATCCAGGTCCCATGATAAAGGATGAAAGAGAGCACATACAGTTAGTAACAGTCAGAGAAACAGGACTACAGTAAAAAACAAGCCACGCTCCAACATCTATAAACAAAGGTGTTGATGGAAGCAGCACAGCTGATATGTTTCTCTAGGATGGTTTCAAAGCCAAACAGAAACAGACTGGATGATGCTACTATGAGACAAATCAGAGAGCATAATGTTAGAGATTTAACTAACAAATTCTGCAGAATGGTAGAAAAGAGATAGAATGAAGCAGAATGATGAAAAGGGGTCCCTATGTCCTCCAGCAGTCTAAGCCTAGAGTAGCATAACTATAGAGATAGCTCAGGATAACCTTAGCCACTCTAAATATAAGCTTGATAAAAAAAAGGAAAGCTTTCTGCCTTGCCTTAAAAGTAGTAGACTAAAATTGGTAGTTGGTTCCACAGGAGAGGAGCCAGATCATTACAGAGCTGCCTCCCATTCTACTTTTAGAAATTCTACGAACCACCAGTAAACCTACAGATTGAGAGTGAAGTACTCTGTTAGGAACATAAGGAACAATCAGATCTCTGATGTAAGATGGAGCTTGGCCATTTAAGGCTTTATATGTGAGAAGGAGGATTTTAAGTTTTATTCTGGATTTAACAGGAAGCCAATGAAGAGTAGCTAAAATAGGGGAAATATGTTCTCTGTTTTAATCAGAACTCTGGGAGCAGCATTCTGGATCGGCTGAAGGCTTTTAACGACAGTTTCAGGACTTTCCGTCAGTAAAGAATTACAATAGTTAAGCCTTGAAGTAATAAATGTATGGACTAGTTCTCAGCATCACCCCTGGATAAGACATTTTTATTTTTTAACAATATTCCGGAGATGAAAGAAGGAAATTCTAGAAACCTCTTTCATATGGGATTTAAGAGACAGGTCCTGATCAAAAATAACCCCAAGACTTTTTACTTTATTATCGAAGATCAAGTAAATCCCATCCAAATTAAGTGATTGACTAATCAGCTTTTTTTTTTTTTTTCAAAGACTCTCCAAACTTCATAACTTCTGTTTTGTCTGCAATCAGGAGCAGAAAGTTAAGAGTCATCCAGGTTTTTATGTCTTCAAGACATGCCTGTAGTCTGTAATGGGTTATTTTCATCTTGATTTATAGACAGATATAGCAGGGTATCATCAGCATAACAGTGAAATTAAACCAATGCTGTCTGATAATTCTACCAATTGGGAGCATATATATATAGTAAAGAGAAATTGTCCTAGCAGTGATCCCTGTGGATAAACCTGGAGTTTGAAGATTTATCATTAAAGGGAAAAAGCTAATCTATCACACATAAGATTTAAGCCAGCCTATTGCTGTTCCCCTAATTCATACAAAATATTCAAGCCTTTCTAAAATATGATCAACTGTGTAAAATGCAGCTGTGAGGTTTAACAGGACAAGCACAGATACAAGTCTATTATCTGAGGCCATGAGAATATCATTAGCAACTTTCACAGGAGCCATTTCAGTGATTTAAAGCCAGACTGAAACGCTTTAAAAAGTTCATTATGGTATAAGTCTGTGTTTCCCAATCCTTTTTTGACTTGTGTACCGCTTTTGGCATTTTGTCTCACCATGAGTACACTTTTGTCAAAAGTATTAACTGTCCAAAAGTGGAATGTACATAACAGATTATAAAATAACTAATCTTAATTTAAGCAGTTCATTCTTAGGCATTTTATGATTTACAACAAAAAAAAAAAAAACATGTTGCCTCAAAGTTTGTGAGGAAATTGAAATTTATTAAAATAGAAAATAAAATATAAACCTGTATTTATAAAACCAGAGAACTTGATGAATTGGGAACAAAATACAGAACAAAAATTATAGCAACTACTTTCTCAATTTTAGATACAAAAATATTGGATGTAGGTCTATAATTGACCAAGTCATCTTGGTCAAGAGACAGTTTAGGTAAAAGCTTAATTACAGCTACCTTAAAAGCTTGAGGTACACATCCGTCAAACAGATGCAACCAAAATGGAGGAAATAATTCCTTTAATAACTTGTTTGGAACTGGATCCAACAGAAGTTGAAGGTTTCAATAATAGTTTGGCCAACTCTGAAAATTCAACTGGATCTAAGCAGTCTAAAACCAGTTCAGATTCTATAATTACCTCAGATGCTGCCTCACTTTCAAGAGAAACCAATCATACTTAGAGGGGTGCCAATGATCTTAATGGTTTAAAAAAAAAAAAATAATCCTGTCGTGGGGAAAAAAAAAAAAAAAAAAAAAACCACCAACTATTCCACCTATTTAAATAAACGTAGATAGATGGATTTCACTCATCGGCACATTTATTCATATCTTTGCCAAGAGAGAACAGTTCATACAGCCCTAATGACAGTATTCTGCCCGTTCTGCATGAGTAGTGTGCGTTTCCCCTTACAAGACTTTGGTTGATAGAAACATGTTATGTATAAACCTTGAGAAAGAATCTGGTTTGTTATGGGAAGAAGCCAGGTCTGGTCTACAAACACCCCTCACCAGAGAATGGTGTGGGCTTGAAGGTGAAACAGACCAATTGAAAACTTTGAGTAAATGGGATTAATATATTGAGAAATCTAAATTTTCCGACAACACCCCATAAAATTATGACTAAGTTTGGGCAATGGCTCAGGGATTTTGATAACTGTACCAATTCCATGTTTCTTATTCAATTGACAAATTGGCTGCTCGTGCTTTTTGAAGGGTTCTTTTATGCAGCAGTAAATCATTTTTTACAGAGTAGGTAAGATTTGCATAGGCATGTAGAGCAACAGTTTCCAAGAATTTTGCCAGTTTTCCATTTTTTTACAGCCCCCCCAAAAGAGTCTACATTGTCTAAGGCAGTATACAGAACTAGCAACCCCAATCAACAAAAATCAGCCTGCAAAGGGAATGTTTGATCCTTGCAGCACTGCTCAGGGACTGAGAGAAAGTGGAACCGATTCTAAATTGGGGAAGGAAACTTAAATTTTGAAGGTTATTAAAAGGTGGCCTCATTAGTCAGTTTGCCCAATTCCCTTAAAAAGTTGCTGCAGCTAATGACCAGCCTTTACCCTTCTGAAGTTTTTAATTTGTTAGCTAGATTACCTGCAGATCTAAGACCATTCTACAACCTGTGGTAAGACTGGAAATGATCTTAAATTAGCTGAAAAATTACAATATTTCATAGGTGTTAAAGACTTAAATTGGATTTGATAAAGTTTACCCTTTACTTTAGAGGTGTTAAAGCAATCCAAAAAGACTTGAACTAGGAGTTTTTCAATTTTTTATTCAACTCTTCAAACCTGACCTTGGGAAGAATAAAGCATTTGCAGAAAATCTTGTTCATTTGGTATTAAAGGTACATACGGCATAGGATTCCACTGAAGAGAATCAGAAGCAGCCTGGGTAGTTGAACATTTAGATGTTGCAGGATTTTGTTCTGGCACTGGATAGCTAGGAAATCCTTCCGGAGGATAAGCAAAGATGGGATGAAATGCAGGAAACTGAACAGGGTATGGCCAGGGGAAATTTGGGTCAAATGGGACATGGGGATATGGAGGTCTTTGCACAGCAGTCGAAGGAGGAGCAGTTGTTGGGTAAGAGGGGAAGTATGGTACAGGTTTTGCTGCTTCAGATGCTGCTTGAAGAAAGTTGTGAAAGTCAAAGACTTGGCTGAAATCCATTGGCAGCACTTGGGGACCTTGTGGCGGAACTGCCGATTGCTTTGGGTTAGGCATTTGGGGAACAGTTTGTGTTGGCTGGGGACTTGTCGGTGCTGTAGTTGTAGAAGGAATTTCTGTTGCCCTTGGTTGGGAAGTTTGATGCTTTGGATCCATTCCAATAGGATAAGGCAAGGCTTGGAGCTCCCGAAACTGAGGCAAGTTCCATAAGGGAAAATTCTGAAAAATGGCAGTATGGGGATTTGGGACTTTTGGTGCCAAAGCAGGTGGAGGGATGGTAGTTTGGGGTCGTGGAATTGGTGCAGGTTTTGTAGGTCCTGCCAGTGCTGGCGAGATATATGAATAGCCAAAGTATGATTGCTGAAGGGGCTGCACACCCTGCTGGGGGAGCTGCACACCCTGCTGGGGGAGCTGCACACCCTGCTGGGGGAGCTGCACACCCTGCTGGGGGAGCTGCACACCCTGCTGGGGGAGCTGCACACCCGCACTTATATGTTTGGGACACAGCAGGGACAGGGGATTGCCTTGCCAGAGTAGAGGTAGCATAACATTTTCCCCCTTGAATGAAAACACAATGTTTTAGTTTAGTAAAAGTTGTTAATGTTTACATTTAAAAGAAACTGAAATGTTGGTGTTTAAAATTGTTGTTTGATGTAAGAACACATGTGATCTGTGTGGGGGGGGAAAAAAAAGTGTTTACACAGAAGATACCTGTTGAATCATGTTGCAACCTTGATATGGAGCAATCATAACAAAAGCCATCGAGTTTCCATGCATTCTAAAGCCACATCTTGAAGGGAGCATGGACAGTGGTATCGGATGCCCATTTGCTGTGGAGAGAAGTCACACCAGTATGCACTTAGTAAAGTGTCAACATTTTAGCTTTAACATTTTAGTTTTACCTTGCATAACAGAGAATTGAGAAGCCCCTGGGCCAAGATATCTGAACTTCATGTGGTCCCCAAAACAGTGTAGAGAAGTTCCTAAACTGTTCCATTTCTTCATCGATGCTTCATTCATGTCCATTGGTTGGGACCAGCCTATAAAGCAAAGGATCAAATCATCTCATTTCAGCAGTTTTAGAGGCTGCATATGGCAATAGTGCTCTGAAATCAAAGACCTTGTCACAAGTATTAAACTACTTTGCTGAAGCTTAGATAAAATTACAGATTCTATTTTAAGAACCCAACAAGTAAAACTGTAGGAGTCCCTCTAACTTAGAGTTTGTCCACTAGATGTCACACAAGAGCACCATCTCTAATATTGAACCCATTATAATAGTTTTAAGGCTTCAAAAAAGCCAATTTGCCATCACAAGCTGCAAGTGTCAAACAATTAAACTGGAATTCTCAAGTTTGCAAGATGCTAAGAACATACCAGGGAAGTCTGCCTGATAATCAGAAGTGTCATCCACTGAGTCATTTGATGAGGACTTTTGGTTTCCCACTGGAACCTCCAATACTTTCCCAAACACAATTTTTCCTTCTTGGACTCCAGCTGTGGTAGCAAAATTAGCATCTCTCTTTTTCACTTGTATCTGACGTTTCTTCAGTCGAAGGCAGGCCGAGGGCTGCACTAAACAACATACTAGTAAAACAGCCACAGCAATGCAGAGGGCAGAATGATTGTTCCTTCCTGACCCCATTATTTACTGCTGATATTCTATTGTAAAATCCACTGTGTCATTTGAAATTTAACTGAATTTGACACTGTCAAAGGTGCTTCAGCAGCCAATCAGATCTATTGCTCTTTAATCAGCTGGATAGGTTACACCTGCATGCCTTGTAGTCAGAAGGAATACTTTCTACCAGATTGGTCTATCTGGCATAATCATCATTTAACTTTGAGTCCATTCAGCAGCAGATGAGTTTGGCATAAACTGCTTTGTGACTGGCTTTTTGATATTTAAAAACCCTTCAACATGATGCTGAAAGGAGGATTATTGATTAAAGTCAGAAACAAGAACAGCAGGAAAGATGTTCAGATGCATAAAAGATGTTCATACTACAGTAAAAGAAAGGCAAAGATAGAGATCTATTAAGAGAAATATATAGTTAAATATGTAACTTCACAAGAAAATATAGTAAGTCCTTTGTCATTTTATTTTTTCATCAAATGATATTTTTTGATATAGACCATTGGGTGAGATTTTCAGTTTTTGTTGGTGATTGAGCAGGGTGAAACAGAGGAGGAATTTAGAGTATATCACCAGGATGAAGTTGAAAAATTGTCGTAGAGGCGGTGATTGCAGATTCCAGTGCATCATAAATCACTACAATATAATCCTTCAGAGGTGGGGGGCAAATATCCTAATAGAGATCCAACAAATATACAACAGAATATGAGGGGCCTAATATATTTGCTATGAATATCTGTTCATTATGGTGTCATGAAATGGCAGATAAGACGGCAAAGAAAGCAATTAAAAATATGAATGAAACAGAACATGATGGATAAAATGCCAAAATGGAAGAAAGGGAAGAAAAGATGCTGGTTCTTTAAAATTAATACGAAAAACTGGAGAAATTAGAATAACAGGTAGAGAGAGGAGAGGAGAGGAGAGGAGAGGAGAGGAGAGGAGAGGAGAGGAGAGGAGAGGAGAGGAGAGGAGAGGAGAGGAGAGGAGAGGAGAGGAGAGGAGAGGAGAGGAGAGGAGAGGAGAGGAGAGGAGAGGAGAGGAGAGGAGAGGAGAGGAGAGGAGAGGAGAGGAGAGGAGAGGAGAGTTTTCAGAAAAAGTTAACTTTCATGTACAATTGTTTCAGCATGTTATTTTCCCAATAACTGGGTACTTTAATCTAGAAATAAAAATTACAAATTTATCAGTTTGGACTTTTGTTCATAAAAAAATAATGGCATGTCAAACATTATTGATACTGTTTTTAATCATCAACTTAAATAAAAATTCATAGCTATTGAAAAAGATATCTCTCCTATCCTAGCTTCGCTTCATTCCTGTTAAATCCAGATCAAATTTAAAATCCTCTTTTTCCATATAAAAGCCTTCAATAGCCAAGCTCTGTCTTATATCAGAGGTATGATTGTTCCTTATGTTCCTAACAGAGCACTTCACTCTCAATCTGCAGGTTTACTAGTGGTTCCTAGAATTTCTAAAAGTAGAATGGGAAGCAGATCGTTTAGTTATCAGGCTCCTGTCCTGTGGAACCAACTACCAGTATTAGTCCATGAGGCAGGCACCCTGTCTACTTTTAAGGCTTTGATAAGGCTTATAGTTAGAGGAGCTCACTTTATCCTGAGATACACTATAGTTATGCAGCTATAGGCTTAGACCACTGGAGGACATAGGGACCCCTTTTCATCTTCCATTCTGCTGTATTTGTTAGTTCAATCTCTTACACTGTTCTCTCTCGCCTTTTCTCATAGTAGCTTCATCTGGTCTGTTCCTGTTTGGCTGTGACTCCATCCTTGAGAGAAATATCAGCTGTGCTGCTGCCCTAACACCTTTGTTTATAGATAATGGAGCTTGGCCTATTTTTCAGTGTAGTCCTGTTTCTCTGACTGTGATTAACTGGATGTGCTCTCTTTGATCTTCTGACACGGGAGCTGGATCAGAGCTCCTCTGCCTGGCTGTGTGTTTCCTGGACGGGGCCACCTGTGGAGCTGACTGACAGTTGCCTTTTGTATCTCTGCTTCTTTCTGTATGTCTGCTTCTATCTCCTTGTACCCCAGTCGGCCTCGGCAGATGGCTATTCACACTAAGCCTGGTTCTGCTGGAGGTTTCTTCCTGTTAAAGGTTTTTTTTCCCTCTCAACTGTCGCTATAAGCATGATTGGTGTGAGGGATTGCCTTTCAGTCAATGACTCTACAGTATGCAATCAGCTGGTTTTCCTTAGATAGAAAACTTTGAACTAATCTGACCGTACGATCTTGTTGAATTGTCTCTGTAAAGATGACGTGTAGTGAATTGGTGTTATATGAATAAACTGAATTGAAATTGAATCAAAGCCTTCCAACTGTGGACCAGCTTTTGGCTTGTGCCATCTGATGTTAATAAAAACTTTACTTGTATTGAACCTTTTGCAAATATCACAATCACAAAGTGCTTCACAAAAGATAAAAGAAAGGCACATAAGGTTTTAGATGTTATTGTATTTCCATCTTAGATAGCTCAATGTTACGGCTGTACCACACACCAACGTCTTTACCAGACACTGGTGAAAAGAGATTTTTGTTCAGTTCTGGATCTGAGGGGAGTATTTGCAATCTGATGTCAGAGGAGGAGGACAAACCAGCAAAGAAAAGGAGAGAGTTGATTTTCAAGAGGATTGAAAATAGCAACATATTCTCCACCTTCTTAAAAATTGGATTGCGGTCTTCTAGAATTATTGTATTTCTGAGGAAGAACGAAAATGAATCTTGTGGAAAACAAGCATTAATGTTAACATATTGTAAAGAACACAATCAGGGTCTGAGAACAGGCAGCATTCAACATGTGGCTAATTCCTCATTCTCATAGCCTACAGTATTCCTTTTACTTTGCCAATTCACTACATGAAAATGCAATCCAATATTATTATACCCTGATTAGCTACCCAAACAGCAGATAGACTTGATTTCTGACTCTCTTGCCCTCCTTGTTCATTGTAATCAGAGTCCAGCTTATTTTGGTTTATGCCATCATCAGGTGACCATAAATGATTAAGTGGTTTAATATTAGAAACACAGCATAGCTTAAAATGTGTACTTTGTTTGCTAAACAAGCTGAAACCCGTTGAATGTAAATATTGCCCCCTTGTGGTCACACTGTTTTGCTTGAGTTTTATTCCTTCCCTTTGGTGAGTAGTAGGGTAGCAGAAAAGTATGCTCCGGTGAAAGTAGCTCTACTTGAATATATGTAAATTCAAGTGGAAATGGTTTAACTTATTGAAAGGGATAATAATTTCTCATCTTAATAATGTATTAACCTGAGTAATTCAAACAAGGCTGATCAGTGTCACTCATCTTCAAGGTCTGGGCTGCATACCATTGTTTCTCTGTGGGGTTAAGGTAAAGTAACGTGCTGGGAAATGCACAGATGCAGACATTACTACTATATTTTTTAGCAGTTTGTTCAGGTGCCAACTCCTGTTGGAAAGTCCAATCAGAATCTCCAGGTCTCCAAGCTTCTGGCTGGATTAGTTGCATCTTCACTCCTCCTCCAGAATCTGGGCCCTTTGAGTCAAAATTGCTACATAATATTTGCTTTCATCCTTAGGGGGTTTAGTACACAAGGTTTACTTTAGAGTAACCATCCCACTTTTTTCCTTCAGATAAACAGTTCCCTAATAGATCCTCTAAACAATTACAATTATTAATTACATATTAGGCATATGTAACGGATCATTTATAAACAGTTATATTTAAGTACAGGGCATTTACTATTAAATCATATAAACCATTGTTGGTGCATTTTTTTTCTCCACTTTCCTTTATGCTTTTCTGCAGTTGCGAGGGGTGCTGGTGCCTATCTCCAGCTGTCAGTGGGCGAGAGCTAGGTACAGCCAGGACAGGTCGCCACTCTATCGCAGGGCAACAGAGACAAACTGGACAAAACCATTCACGCACGCACGTACGAACGCACACACACACACACACACACAGAATTTAGAGAAGCCTCGCAATCTTGTTTTTGGATTGTGGGAGGAAACCGGAGTACCCGGAGAGAACCTGAGCATGCACTGGGTTAACATGCAAACTCCATGCAGTAAGACCCCGGTCCAGGAATCGAACCAAGAACATTCTTGCTGTAAGGCAGCAGTGCTGCACTGTAAAGCCCTGGCACAAAATTACTTTTCAATACCTAATTTCTTTTATCTATTGCAACTATTAATTAAGGAATAGAATTTTTTTTTCTGCAAAGACAGAAACTGAGTTACTTCAGTAACTTTTTGCTTAAGTAACTAGAGTTCAATTTTGCACTGTTAACTTGTATTTCAAAGTTACCATACTTTTACTTGAATACATTTTTTTGCACTCTTCTCGCCTCTGTTTAGTGCAAAGTTCTATATACCAGTGCTGTTATGCAGAGACATGTCAATCATCTGTAGGGGCCGATCATATTTCAAGAGCGTCCAGATCCCCCCTCTATCTCCGCCGCTGGATCTTGATTTGGGTTATACAGTCAAAGAATCTGAAGGCTTCCTCAACACCAACAACAGGAGCAGATGGATGCTCAGTTCTGCTTTCATGTGAACCACTTCCTTATGGACTGACAAGTACACTGCACCAGAAAGGTCCCCCTCCTCCCCCTCCAGTGCTGTATGTTTAGGCAAACCAGCATATGGTATATAAGCCATCTTTAACAATGGATGAATTGGCAGATGAATTACACAGAAATCATTACCATGTTTTATTAATCTCACTCACTTGTTCCAACGTATGTAAATATAAAAATTATTCAGAAATCTTTCCAAGACATGGTTTGAATGGCATTTTCACAACAATAATTACAGATCTTAACTGGTGTATTTTCTACACTGTTAACTAGTTGTCTGCATGGAACACTTAGAATTCTACATATGGCTCATTGGTACAAATAACATTTATTAATTCGTTAAGGTCAATTGTATGCAACAAGTTAAAAGACTACAATAATCAATGTTAGATCTGCTCTTAGTGGACCACTATTCGCCTGGATGAAATCTGCAGTAGTATGGATAGAACAAGAACATAACCGAATGGCCTAAACTGTTGCCACCGATCCCACTCTGGCGTCAGGGGCAGGACGTCTCTACAGAGCATGGTGAAGAGTGATGGGGGCGTCCAGTCTGTGCCA